TAAAAAATGTTATTTATTTATCTTTAGAGAGAGGGGAAGGGAGGGAGAAAGAGGGAGAGAAATATCAACGTGTGTTTGCTGCTCGTGCACCCCCTACTGTGGGCCTGGCCTGTAACCCAGGCATGTGCCCTGACTGGGAATCAAACCCGTGACCCTTTGGTTCACAGGTTGGTGCTCACTCCACGGACCCACATCAGCCAGGGCAAAAGCCATACTTTATATACACACATATTTAAAAATATGTACAATATCTAGGAACTGAAAAAAGAGAAAAGCTAATCACAGAGTAGTACACATCTGACTGCAATGTCCAACAGGATTCCCTCCTGGAGAGGCGGGGCATGGGCATGCGGGCAGGGCTGTCCCTGTCCCTGGGGCCTCTTGGTCCCGTGTCCCCATGCCATAGCCTCGTGCTCCCCGATGGGCCTCCCTCACTGCGGGAACATGGGCAGTCCGGCCAGTGTCCCCTGCAGAAGCGCCAGGTGGTCACAGCCTATCCTATTTCCTTTTTCAGGGCGACTCTGGGGGCCCCCTGGCCTGTGAGGAGACGCCCGGTGTGTTTTATCTGGCGGGGATTGTCAGCTGGGGGATTGGCTGTGCTCAGGCCAAGAAACCCGGTGTGTACACTCGAATCACCCGTCTGAAGGGCTGGATCCTGGACATCATGTCCTCCCACCCCCTCCCCACACCTGCCCCCTCCACCACGAGGACGCCTGCCACCACGATTCATGTCCCCAGGACAATGGCTGGCCTCACGGTCCTGGGGGTCACAGCCAGCACACCCACCCTCCGGACCACCAGCAGGGCAACCAGCCAACCTGCCAACAGGACGGCCGCTGCCATGAGCACCACTGCTAGGGCACAGACGCCACTTCCAAGTGCCACATGGACCACCAAGGACTCCCAGCTTCCAGGTACTGGGAGGAATGGGGTGGCATGTGTGGGTGGCAGGGACCCTGCATCAGTTTATTAGGGCTGCTGGCACAACGTCCCACAGGCTGAGAGGCTTAAGCTACAGACGGTTCCCGTCTCCCAGCCCCAAGCCTCCCCTTGGCGGGAGACGGCCGTCTCCTCCCTGCATCCTCATGTGGTCACTTCTCTGAGTGTGTCAGTGTCCACATCTCTTAGGAGGACACCAGTCATATTGGATTAAGACCCACGCCAATGACCTCATTTTACCTTAATTATTTCTTTAAAGGCCCTATCTCCAAATAGAGTCGTATTCTGACGGCCTGGAGATCAGGACTTTAAATATGGATTTTGCGGGGCACAAGTCAGCCGGCCTTCATCCTGACAGGGGACAGGCGCTGATTGGGCAGACCTCGCCCTCTAGTGGCAAATGCCTTAATCTGCAACTCCTGTCTGCTCCCATTTTAAAAAGGAAACTTCAGAGGCATCACCGGTGAAGGGTTTGCCGGGTGGGGGTCGCGGGGAGACAGGGAGGAAGGGGGTCCCCGTGGTGGGAGTTCTCAGGCCACTCATTTCATGTGCATAAATCCCTTCTCTGTGCCAGGCCCTGTGCTAAGCTTAGGTGCAGCAGGGAACCAGAATGTCAAGAAACAAACCCATAATAGAATGGCACATAGTTAGGAGTGAAAGGAAGGCAAAGCAGGGCAAAGCTGGGGCCCAGGGTTGGCTGGTCTCCCAGGCTCCTGTTACAGGCTGAGGGGTGTCTAACTGGCAAGTAGAGACATCGAGAGAGAAAGTACCCCTGAGATCTTTCCACTCAGGTCTAAAATGCTGAGTTCACTTTTATTAACTGCTAATCATAATGATGTGAAACTGCTGTATTTGTAGGTCAAAAATAAAGCCCCACCAGATACGGGCTTTATCTGGGTCTGGCCTCTAGCCTGATGATTTTCACTTTTCCAGTAGCTATGGGCTGCGAATTCTTCACTTGGGAGCCCAGAGATGGAGGAAGGCCCTGAAATGGCAGGCATTGTCCCCTGTGGGGGCAGATTCTGCAGGAGAGGGACTGCAGCTTCTGTCAGATTCCCCAGGCCTCTTGGCCCTGGGCAAGGTCCAAACAGTGTCAGGAGGCTAGAGGCAGTGGGGCTAGCAGGGATGGGGCAGGTGGTCTCTGGCCTCCCCCTTTTCTTCCAGCCATGTGAGACCAGGGCAGGCAGGCCTTCCCTAAATCTGGAAGGCAGGGGAGGCAGCTGGGTGGTGGGTGAGAGGCTGGGGGTGGCACGGACTCCGGAGTGGAAAGTGCCCTGTGGGAATCGGATGGGTAGGAGGTCCGCTGATGGGTGATAAGGGGTCCCTGCAGCACCCTCTTGAGACCACACTTGTGCTTTCTACAACTGTGTCCTGAGGGCGCACCTTGGGCTGGGAGTGGGGGGAGTGTCATAGTTCAAAGGTCATCTGGGAAGGCCAGCTAGCACAAGGGCTAGTGGGACATGGCAGGCGTCTCCTGGGCAGTGCCAAGGAGTGTGCAAAGGTCCTGGGACAGCAGGGAACCTGGCTCCTAGGGGACTGAGAGATGCCTGGGAAGGGGCCCTATCCTGGCCCCCATCCATGGAGGAGGCACAGCCCCAATGCCAAGGTTATAGGAAACACATTTAAATGCATTTCAAATATTTGAGAAAAGCCCAAAAGATGTGCATCTGTAGGACCAAGTGCCAAGTCCAGTGCTTCTTTGTGCGGAGTTTTTTCGAGGTGGGTCCCCCGCCCCACTTAAGGGGCTGTGTGAAGGGGCAGCACAAGAGGCACCTTTTATCTGCCCGACATCCTGTGCCCACTCCCCCACAGGCTGTGGCCTGGCGCCGGTGGCCACGCTGACCAGGATCGTGGGTGGCAGCGCCGCAGGTCTTGGGGAGTGGCCTTGGCAGGTGAGCCTGTGGCTGCGGCGCCGGGAGCACCGCTGCGGGGCTGTGCTGGTGGCGGAGAGGTGGCTGCTGTCTGCGGCACACTGCTTCGATGTGTGAGTCTGGCCTGCCCTGTTCCCCGCCCTTCAGTGGTTCACCAGGATCAACTTGTGGCCCCAAAACTTACTGTCATACTTCTGAGCCGTTGCCTGGAAGCCCCCACCCCCACAACTGGGACTCACTGCCACTCCTACTCTGCACCCACCCCTGCCCATCCAGCACATGTGGCTGTGGGTACCCAGTCCAACCCTCCTCCTGTGGTTCCCTAATCCCTGGGAACCACAGCCTCTCCCAGCCAAGGGCCAGGCTTGCTGGTGATATGGGGTCTCCATCCCCCAAAGGCTACACACTGGGGAGCCCCTTTGGTGGCAGGCTGCTCAGTAGGGCGGACCAGGGGCCCTGCCCTCCATGGAAACATCCAGCTCTTGGGTGTGTGGGGTCAGAGGGAACAGGCAGGTGGGGCAGGGGGCTCTCTGGGCACCAGGGCACTAATATTGGGCAAAAATGGAAATAGTCTGTGGTGCCGCCTCATTGCCCTGGGTGCATTTCAGGCATAGGCAGCCCCCTCGCTGTCCCAGGAGGAAAGGATGGCTCAACCCTATTTCCAGATGAGCCACTCAGGGCCCAGAGAGGTCAAATGTCCTGCCCAAGGTCCCAGGAAGACCCCCTGGGGCACAGGCAAGGACATGGCCACAGCTCCACGGGGCGGAGTGCAGAAGAGCCCCAAGTGGGTGGGAACGGAGTGCAGGGATCCAGGCCAATGCCTGTCCCCGCGCCCCTCAGCTACGGAGACCCCAAGCAGTGGGTGGCCTTCCTGGGCACACCGTTCCTGAGTGGCGCTGATGGGCAGCTGGAGCGTGTGGCTCACATCTACAAGCACCCCTTCTACAACCTCTACACACTCGACTATGACGTGGCGCTGCTGGAGCTGGTGGGGCCCGTGCACCGCAGCCGCCTGGTACGGCCCATCTGCCTGCCTGAGCCTACTCCCCGGCCCCCCGAGGGGGCACGCTGTGTCATCACCGGCTGGGGGTCGGTGCGCGAGGGAGGTAGGCAAGTCCCGTAGATGAAGCCAGGCCCCACACTCAGGGGTTAGTGGCCTAGGGGCATCAGGAAGGCCTCCAGCCCAGTTCCAACTGGCCCCACCATCTGTCTCACCCGCAGGCTCCATGGCACGGCAGCTGCAGAAGGCAGCAGTGCGCCTCCTCAGTGAGCAGGCCTGCCGTCGATACTACCCGGTGCAGATCAGCAGCCGCATGCTGTGTGCTGGCTTCCCGCAGGGCGGCGTGGACAGCTGTTCAGTGAGCGCAACTTAAAATTGAAATGGGGGCTCTGCCAGGGACCGGGTCCCATCCATCTGGGGAGGTTCTCTCGCTCTAAAACCCAACCAGGACCCACTATTCGGTGCAAACTTAGGCTGATCAAGCAGGGAACCCTTTCTGCCTCAGAGGTTGCAATGGACATCCACCTCCAGTCAGTTCCCACCCCACCACATCCTCACCATGGCCCTGCGGGGGGCCTGGTTCTGCTGGGGAACCACAGCAGCAGGTGTCCACAGATGCCTGCCAGCCATATGAATGGCTCATCCTAGCACTGAGCCTATTTCCAAGATAATAAAAGTGAGGCTCACAGGGACAGTCATTCACTTGGTGTCACACAGGGAACCCACGTGACCCTCCTGTGGTTGCCCATCACCCAAGGTGTGCAGATCAGGTCAGTCCTTCCTTGGCCCAAGGGCTACTACTGGGGAGGTTCTGGCCTGCTCTGACCACCTTTCCTCTCTCCTCCCCTCAGGGTGATGCTGGGGGACCCCTGGCCTGCAGGGAGCCCTCTGGCCGGTGGGTGCTAACTGGGGTCACCAGCTGGGGCTATGGCTGCGGGCGGCCCCACTTCCCAGGTGTCTATACCCGGGTGACCGCCGTGAGAGGCTGGATCATGCAGAACATCCAGGACTGACACCCCATGGCTGCCCAGGCCTGGAAGGAGAGTTGCGAAGGCAGCAGGAACCAACCAGCCACCAGCCCAAGAAGGGGAGTCCAGTCCAGTCCAGGTGGTGGGTGGTGGTGCTGTGGGTAGCAGAGTACAGTTTTACTGTAAATTTTGTTCCAATAAAAAGCCCCTTGTCCCTAGCCTACTGGCTCAGCATCTCCACATCACAGTGAACGACTTGCCTGCCCATCACCCAGGGCCCAGAGATGGGATGAAGGATGTGGGGGAGCAAGGCCTCCCAGGGAGAGGGCAGCCCCCCTAGCCTTTGGGGCTGAGCTCAGCCTCATCTTCAAGGCTCCTTTTTGTGTAAATACCTTCCTATCATCCAGGGAACCCAGTAGCAAGTATCAAGGGGGAAAATGGGAGTCAGGGAAGAGACTGAGGCCCGGGCTAGGGAGGTGACTCAGGTACCCCAGACAAAGGCCCCCTTCAGGGAAGACACAAAGGTCTCTCTCCATCCCTTCCTCATCAATTTATTTGTCAGCCAACCAGACCCCCTGGAGGTCACAGCTCAGGTGGGATCTAACAATACCCACCCCACCCCCACCCCCAGGTCCACAGGGGAATTCTATGGCCAGGGCTTGAGGATGACCGGGGCAAACCACGGAAGATGCCACTAGGCTGCCAGCACTTTGGAAAGGTCCAGGGTCCCCAAGTCCCCAACTACACTCGCTGGCAGGAGGTGGGCTGGACGAAGAGGGGCGGGGAAAAACCCCGTGTCCCAGCACTAGTCTCATCCTCATAAACCAGGGGCAGGCAGCACGCACACGCCGGCCCCCACCTCACAAAGCACATTTATGGAAACCGAGCACAGGTGGGGAGGGACCGCTGGCTAGACCAGGCCCAGCCCGTCCCGGTCACATGTTGGCTCGTTCTCGCTGCAGCCGCGAGTTGTAGGCGCGGGATACGGTATTCCAGGCATCCATGTAGCGGTCCATGCACATGGCGATGCACTTCTGCAGGCGGAGAGGGCACGCGGCTCAGCTTACGGCTGGCACACATACACACCAGGCACAAACGGACAAACACGGAGGAACACACGCTCTCCCCCCCTCCCCACACCTCCGCCCCGGCATAGGACTGCGCATGCGCAGCAGTTTCACCGCACCGCCCCGTTAGGCGGTGCAAGCGCAGAGACGCCTCGTTGGTCCCTGCCAACCCTAAGGGTCTCACCTGCTCTGAATTGTCCAGGGAGCCCCCCGGCTTCCCGATACACTTCCGGAAGCACTTGTCCGTCATCCTCTGTGGGAACATGCGAACCCTCAGCCACGACGCCCGCCCCCTGGCGGACCCCGCCGCCCTCGACCCCCGGCGCGACTCCGGACCTGCAGCAGCTCCTGCGCGTTGGCCACAGCGATCTGCACCTTCACTTGTTCCATTATGAGCCCCGGGTCCAGCTTGCCGCCGCCCGAGCCCCCGAAATCCGAGCCGAAACCACCCTCCATGGCTCCTCAAAGTTAACCGGGCGAGGCCGCGTGCGCCGACCCGTACCTGCACCGGAAGTCAGTAGCCCGTGGCTCCACGGGAAATGGAGTCCAGGCGTGCTGGAGGCGGGGCAATGGGCCGCACCACCCACAAGCCCGCCATTACGCTGGGATGCGGTAACTAGTGGTCAGACTCTGGGACGTGGGCAAGGAGCGGTTAGCTCCGACCTGCTGCAGGGCGAGGTTAGAAAGTGGAGCCTGTGTGCACCTGCCAGTGGGCCTTTTCTCTGTGTGTGTGTGTGTGTGTGCCTTTTCTCTGTGTGTGTGTGTGTGTGTGTGTGTGTGTGTGTGTGTGTGTGTGTGTGTCTTAAACCCTCCTCAACCCGGAGAAAGAATATACCTGCCAAGAAGCCCTTGTGGTTAGCTTAGCTTGAATTCATGACCAGTCCAGCAGCCATTGCTTACGGGGGCCTCTCATCCACATTGCATTTTATGGAAAAGCTGCAGAGTGAGCTGCCAGCCTTGATGACACTATTGCAGATGTCCCAATCCGCCCCCACCTCCACTTTGCCCTCCTCCACCTAGCCCCTGCCCCAACCTACTTCCCTCTGGTTTTCACCACACTTGTCTGATTCCGTGGGTTATGTATATATGTTCTTTGGCTGATCCCTTCACCTACTTTCATCCACTTGCCCTCCTCCACCCCTCCCCTCCCTTCTGACAGCTGTCAGTATGTTCTGTGTATCTCCGTTTCTGTTTTTTCATCAGTTTATTTTGTTAATTAGCTTTCACATGTAAGTGAGATCATATGGTATTCGTCTTTCTCTGACTGACTTATTTCATTTAGCATAATAATCTCCAGGCCCATCCATGCTGTCACAAAAGGTAAGCTTTTCTTCTTTTTTTATGGCTGTGTGATATTCCATTGTGTTAATGTACCACAACTTTTTTATCCACTCATTTACTGATGGGCACTTGGGCTGCTTCCAGATCTTGGCTGCTATATACATAGGAGTGCATACATTTTTTTGAATCGGTGTTTTGGGATTCTTAGGCTATATTCCCAGAAGTGGGATCGCTGAGTCTAAAGGCAGTTCTGTTTTTAATTTTTTGAGAAAATGCCATACTGTTTTCTACAGTGGCTGCACCAGGCTGCATTCCCACTAACAATGCACTAGGGTTGTCTTTTCTCCACATCCTTGCCAGCACTTGTTTTTGTTGGTTTATTGATGATAGCTATTCTGGCAGCTGTGACGTGCTAGATCATTGTGGTTTTAATTTGCATCTCTCTGATTAGTGACATTGAGCCTCATTTGCGTCTTTACTGATGAGTCAGAACTCATGGAGCCAACAGTGGTAAATGGGACAATCAAACTGTGCAAATTTGGAGTCTTCATTTGCATACAAGTGGACCAATTGGGAACTAGAGGTGGACCCTGTCTGGTTAGCAGCCAGTCGATGCTTCTCTCTCTCTCCCTTTCTCTGTCACTTCCTCTCTCTCTAAAAAAGCAATGGAAAAAGTGTCCTCAGGTGAGGATTTTTAAAAAATTACATTTAAAGAGATTATTGATAGGTATGTAGTTATTGCCATTTTTCTATTTATATTTATCATCTTTTTTCTTTCTTAAATCCTTTTAACATTAAAATACTGAGATGCACTTTTAGATTTTTCTTTTTTAATAACTTTATTTTTAATTACAGTTGACATAAAGTATTATTTTAGTTTCATGTGTACATATAGTGGGTAGACATTTATATAATGTACGAAGTGAATGCCTCAATATGTCTAGTACCTGTGTGACACCATGAATAATTATTACAATCCTTTAGCTTTTTCTTGTTCGGGAAACTCTTTATTTCTCCTTCGATTCTAAATGATAGAATCGAAGTAATAGAGTAATATTGAGTGTAGGTCCTTGCTCTTCACCACTTTGAATATTTAGTGCCAATCCCTTTTGGCCTTCAAAATTTTTGTTGAGAAATCAGCTGACAGTCCTGTGGGAGCTTCCTTGTAGGTAATTAACTGCTTTTCTCTTGCTTTTAAGATTCTCTGTCTTTAAGCTTTAGCATTTTAATTATGATGTGTCTTGGTGTGGGCCTCTGGGTTTTTCTTGCTTGGGATTCTCTGTATTTCCTGGACTTGTATATCTATTCCTTTACCGGATTAGGGAAGTTTTCCATCATTCTTTCTTCAAACAGGTTTTCATTCCTTTGCTTTTTCTTTCCCTTTGGTACCCCAATGATGTGAATGCTGGTACTTTTGATGTTATCCCAGAGATCCCTTAAACTATCCTCATTTTTTAAATATTCTTTTTTCTTTTCTTTTCTTTTCTTTTTTTTTTTTTGCAATTTTGATAGGGTGCTTCTGCTACCTTGGCTTCCAAATTGCTGATTCAGCCCTTTGTGTTGTCTTAATTTGCTGTTGATTCTTCCTAATGTAGTCTTCACTTCAGTTACTGTATTTTTCATTTTTGAGTGGGATTATTTTTATGGTTTCTGTGTCCTTTTTTATGTTCACTATCTTTTTGTTGAAGTTCTCACTGAATTCATCTGTTCTTTCCCTAAGTTCTTTAAACATCCTATAACCAGTATTTTGAACTCTGTATCTGGTAGATTGCTTGTGTCCATTTTATTTAGGTCTTTTTTCTGGAGTTTTCTCATGTTCTTTCATTTAGGACATGTTTCTTGGTCTCTTCATTTTGGCTGTATGAGGAGGGACCCTCAAAAAACAAAATTTATAAAAAATTCTGTATTCTTACATGTTTAGACTTCAGTCACCTTCTAAGCACTCTCCATTTGATGCAATACACTATCAGGATGTTTTTCTACTGCTCAAAACAGTTTTTGAACTTGTTGATTTTGATGCCTTTTATTTTTTTCATCTATTCCACATCAGCAAAACGTTTCCTTTGAGGACTTTTTTCATCTGGGAAAACAAAAAAGTTGCTTGGGCTGAGATCGGGTGACTAGGGATGGTCATGCCATTTTTGGTCAAAAACTGCTGAAAACTCAGCATGGTGGAGGCAGGTGCACTCGTAAATCACCCATCATGAAATGGGCAAACACATTGAGTCTTCAAAAAGACTTCACAGAAGCCGAATGCAGCCCCTCAGAACAATGCCAGCTGGTACTCTGGTAACAGACAGGCTCCTAGAACTCTCACCTGGCCAAGGAAACCTGTACTGCAAGGGGCCTGACCTCCAGAAGATAATTCCAGGGTCTTTCTGGGTCCCCCCTCGTATTTCTGTGTTTGTTTCTATGTGTTAGGTAGATCTGCTGTCTCTCAGTCTTGGCAGAATGGCCTTATGTTGTAGGTGTCCTGTGGGGCCCAGTGGTTCAGTCTCCCTGGTCACCTGAGTTGGGTGCTCCAGGAGTGCCCCTTGTGTGGGTTAAGTGCACTGTTGTAGTTGAGTCTTAATTGCTGTTGGCATGTATATGGATGCGGTTGATGCTCCGTTGGACTGGCTTTGAGGACTGGCCAAGGCCACAGTGGGTGAGCTGCTGTTGCAGAGGCTGACCCCGTGAAGCAGGGTTTGTGCCTCTGGTGCCGCTCACACCGCTCTGGATATATTGTTTGTGGAGCTAATTGGTCCGAAGGCTGCTACTGTGAGTGTTGGTTCTAGGGCCTCTGGGAGAGGGGCTCTGGTACAGGCCACGGTCAGCCCCGGCCTGTGCCTGGGCTGGAGCCACCTGGTAGGAGCTCCAGAGCAATCTGTAGTTGGTAGTTGCCTGGGCTGGGCCTGGAGGTGCATAGGGGAGGCCATGCTGCAAACCGAGGCTGGCTGGCACCAGTGGAAGATCTGGCATTGTTCAGCTAGAGGCACAGGTCACACGAAGGCCACATGCTACCTGCCTGGCACCCGCATACCTATGAGAGTTTTTAGGAAAGTCTACAGTGCAGGCCAAAACCGTCTGCCTATGAGTAACTGCCACTGAAAGAGACTTGAGCGGTGCTCAAGGTGGGTGGGTGGGGGGTGTAGGTGTGTGTGGGTGTCGCGCAGGAGGCGGGGGATGGAGGTGCTCTCAGGGATTTGGCGCCCACCTACACCAGCAGACTAAGTGAGGGAGGACTCAACACAAAAAATGGTGGCTGCCATTCCAGCCCTGGTCCTGAAGCCACACAACTCAGTTTCTCCCCATATGTATCTGGCGCTTCTCCAAGTCGCTGTCCCTTGTCCAGAGCCCAGGGTGAGTGCCTAGAAGCGAGTGAGTCTGTATGTGGGCCCTTTAAGAGGTTGCCTGGGTTTCCAGAAGTCCTCTGTCTCACCTAGACAGATGGAATCTCCACCGATTTTCACAATCAGGTGTTGTGGGGACTCCTCTGCCCAGCACTGGGACCCCGTACTCATGATGGTGGGGCTCCACAGCTGCCATCTCCCTCCTAGTTTTCATCCACCACTTGTGGCTGTGGGACCAGCCCGTGTCGCCTCTCCACCCCTCCTAGCAGCCTCTACGTGGCTTCTTTATACCTGAGATTTAGGAGTCCATTTGGCTAATTTTCAGATGGTTTTCCAGGGTGACTGATTTATAATTTTGATGTAGTAGTGGGTAGAGGCAAGCACAGAATTTATCCTGCCATCTTGATCATAAGCAGCTCTATTTTTAATTTTTTGAGAAACCTCCATACTGTTTAACAGTGTCTATACGAACTTAAAATCCTGCCAACAGTGCATAAGGGTACCCTTTTCTCCAAATCCTTGCCAACACTTGTTATTTGATTTATTGCTAGGTGTGAGGTAGTATCTCACTGTGGTTTTAATTTGCATTTCCCTGATGATTAGTGATGGTGATCATCTTTTCATGTCTATTGTCATGTGCTCTTTAGAGAAATGTCCGTTCTGGTCATTTGCCAGTTGTTTTTTTTTTTAATTGATTTGAGAAACACCGATTTGTTGTTCCCACTCATTTTTTGCATTCATTTATAGGCTGCTGCTTGTATGTGCCCTGACCAGAGATCAGATTACAACCTTGGCATATTGGGACAGTGCTCTAACCAACCAAGCTACCCATCCAGGGCCAGTGATGCTAATTTTTTGTGTGTGGGGGCACGCATGCATGCATGTGTCCAAAGTGAATCT